GGACTTTAACAAGCTGTGAACATCAGGACACTTTTTGACTGTTTCATTTTGCACCCAGTTATTAATGTGAAAGTCCTTGGCATTAAATTGATCCATTTATCGTAACAGTTGATTGATTATAAATAAAGTTATATGCCTTTTTAAGTTACTATGTCCTTATGTGACAAGACTTTTGTCCATAACTGTATGTATGGTTACACATTGTTCCGTAGAAACCGGATATGCAAGAAGGGAGATGGTGTTGCAGTATACGTAAAAGAAAACTTGCAGACAAGGGAGGTCACTGAAAAAAATAAAAGTACAAAAGCTGTATGGGTAAAACTAGATGCTAAAAACTCAAATGGCTTAATTGTCGGTATTTGTAATTGGACGGATCATAACATGGTTAAATTTGAGGTTCATTTTATTGTCTGAAGAGTAAAGTACAAAATAAAAGTATACAATGTTAGGAAGGCTAATTTTAATGGCATGAGACTGAACCTAGAAACTGTAAACTGGATGGAGCAAAACTGTTGAAGAGGCATGGGAACTTTTTAAAAGCACATTGTTGCAAGTGCAAGAAGACTTCATACCTGTTTCCAGCAAAACTAAATCTAAGAAACTGCAACCAAGGTGGTTTACTACAGAAATTAAGAATAAAGTCAGGAGGAAAAGGGCTCTGTTCCACAAATGGAAAATAACTAATGATTTCAAAATAAAGCAGGGGTATCTAAGTCTACAGGTTGAGTTAAAAAATAACATTAGACTCGCTAAGAGGAATGTAGAAAGGAAGATTGCATTGGAGGCTAAGGATGACATTAAAAGTTTCTTCCAATATTTTTACTCCAAAAGAGTACTTTCTGATTGGAAGCATGCTAATATAACGCCATATTCCAAAAAGGGGATAGAAGTAATATAGCAAACTATAGGCCAATCTGTTTAACTTGCATAACTGGAAAATTAATGGAAGCTATAATCCAAGTGAAAATGGTAAATTACCTGGATTCAAATAACATTCCGAGCGATAGCCAAAATGGATTTAGGAGAGGTAGGTCCTGTTTAACTAATCTACTTGAGTTCTTTGAGGAAGCTACAAGAGAAATTGATTACAAAAAGGCCTACGATGTGATCTACTTAGATTGCTAGAAGGCATTTGATGTTGTCCCCCACAAATGGCTCTTGCTTAAGCTCAAAGCTGTAGGGATTTTAGGAACTGTAGCAGCTTGGATCGAAAACAGACATTAAACAGCAGGCAGTTACGTACATACAATACATACAGTAAACTGGATAAATTTGCAGATGACAGTACGGTGGGTGGTGTAGCAGATACTGAACCAGCAGCACAGAGGCTACAATGGGATCTTGATTTAATTACCTGGCAGATTAAATTTAACATAGATAAATCCAGGCAGGGAGCAGAAATATAAAGTACAGATATTTTATGGGTTCCACTGAAATAAAGGTAGCTGATTATGAGAAAGACCTCAGAGTGTATGTCCCACTCTCGCCAGTGTGGGGAAGCAATTACAAAGGCCAATAGGATGTTAGGTTACATCTCTAGGTGTGTGGAGTTTATGTCAAGGGAGGTGATGCTACGATTACACAATTCCTTGGTAAGACCATACCATAAAAAGGACATTGCTGCCTTGGAAAGGGTGCAACGTAGGGCTACAAGAATGATTCCTGGTCTTAGAGGAATGTCTTATGAGGAGAACTTAGCTGAGCTGAATCTGTTTAGCGTCGCGCAAAGGAGACTAAGGGGGGACATGATCCAGGTATATAAGATTCTAACAGGTCTGGATGCTGTTCAGCCAAATGGCTACTTCAATATTAGTTTAAGTACTAGAACTCGTGGCCATAGGTGGAAATTAGCGGGAGAACATTTTTAACTGAATTTGAGAAAGCACTTCTTTACACAGTGTGTAGTTAGAGTATGGAATAGTCTTCCTGTTCAAGTAGTGCTGGCTAAAACCTTGGGTTCCTTTAAATCAGAGCTAGATAAGATTTGAACAACTCTGAGCTTTTAGTTAAGTTCTCCCCAAACGAGCTTGATGGGCCGAATTGTCTCCTCTCGTTTGTAAATTTCTTATGTTCTTATGTCAATCAATTGCACTGCTAATTGACTATTTTCTACACAGGATCAGCATTTTAAAAGCAAAATGCAAGAAGTGTTTGCTGTGAAGGAAGAAGAGTTTCTGCAATTACAAGGGAGTAAAAAGTGGAGACTGAGGTACTTAAATTGAATTAGCATTTTTTGCACAATATTATAATGTATATATATTTCCATTTATGTTCTCCTAAATTGATGTGAGGAGTAACTTTTATTTTATTTTTGTATTACAAGTAGTCACATATTGCTCCAAGACTTGATTCACATTTGATGAACATTTTTGTGTAGGTGTTATGCAATGTGTTTTATGTCCAGTTTCTATGATATATGGAAACACACTGCATGAGAATTATCAAAAATAATTAAAACAATTTAGATTCTGTTGGGAATAAGTATAAGATCTAATTTTTCTTGTTTTTCAGTCGACGAGAAGATACTGGCCTCGATGATGTTTTAGATAAAATTGAAGAGGTGGTCTTGGCAGCCCAAGGACTGCAAGAAGTGTCCAATACAATGAAGGAAATGCCTTTGCCTGTGTTTTCTGCAAAGGTAACTGATTAAAAACTTCTTAAAAACCTGTTTTACCTGTAACTCAAAAGTTATTATTTACATAGAAAATAAAGAGTACATAAAATACACAAAGTTTAGTTATCTTAATAGAGATTTCCCTGCAACTTATTAACCCTTTCCCCAAGAAAATATACCTCCACATCATAAAAATGCCTTCAAAACAATTTTGTTTTCACATTTAAAAAAAAAAAAACACAGTGTTTTCTGAATCAAATTTGCAGGTCCAGTTTTTGAGCTCATGGTTTCATCATGCTGTCAAAGCCTTATTGGCTGCAGGAGCTNGACACGGTAGGACCACAGCAGGGGCTGACCCTGACAGGGGAAGTAATTACAGAATTCCTCTTTGACATTCCATTCATTAGATTCTGATTTTCTAATACATTATATAGCCATTTAATATTATATAATTTCAAAACTTTCAGGTCTGGAAAGCTTTTTCCAATTTCCCTACTGTAATATATTCATAAATGTTGTTTGTCAATGTACTCCCATTGAACTGCAGGTGACGTCGGTGAGACAAGTCTATATATAGATGTCAAGAAACTTATTTATTGGCACTACTACCTGACTAGTACTGACACCAATAAACTATTTTAAATAACACAAAAAATTGAGTAGCTTGGACAAATCAACCACAGGAACTATAGTAGAGTGCAAGTTGTTATATCTAGTGATCAGAGATGAAGCAGACCCCGTAATGCAGGAGAACATTTTATTTGGAATAAAGCCGGGTGTAGCCAAATCCGAAGGGGCAAGACAGGCGGAGAGTCGGGTTGGTCACGGGAGGTCAGAAGCTGAGGTGGTCAATCCTACAGAAAGAGACGAGACAAGGGACCGATGGGACAGGAAGGTGGACGAATTAAAACCAGGGCAGCAGGGCATGCAGGATCGGGTGGGCAGGCGGAGATGATCAGGGAAGCTGGGCAGGCACGACAACAGGAGACGACGATGCAGGCAGGGCAGGAGGGTTAGACAAAAGACAGAAAAGCCCTCAGTAAGTGTCATAGGTATGACAACAATACTTCGCAACCCTTGGAGCTTGTGTCGGGTTTAAGTAGCCTGGTTGGTTTGCGATGATAGCCTGTTGCGGTGTGGCCCCGCCCCTGTGGGCGTGACACGAGTCATATTTATTTTGCTTGCTTTTGTTCGATTCTGAACTCACATCATAGGTGCTAACTTATAGTGTTTGTGTCATTGTGTAATAGCTGCAGTAGAATAATATATTGACCTACCTGAAACTGTATCATAGGTCTGTTCGAGTCCTGCTCAGGCTGTACAGAGAGATGATGACATCCAAGACAGCAATGGGACGGCTCCACTGGGTAACACCTCACTCAGCCTCCACTGATTCGCATGGCCAATTAGCGTACTTTTGAACAAAAGCTATCACCTCATGCACTTACAGTATATATCTATACAGAAATGAAAACTGGCACACATGTCCTTTTGTGTGTTTGCCTGTTCACACACACACACAAACACATAGGACTAGGTGATATATCAATTTGTATTGTGATTAACTAAATAAACATTCATGTGTCATCAGTTTGAAAATCGTACTGTGATAAAGCCCAAACATTTGTTTTCGTGGGTAACTAACAGTTTTACTGCGCTATTTTTACACAAATTCCATCATTATTATACCTGTCACCTGCTCCATAACTACAGTATTAGTACAACAATTTGGTCATCAAAATCAGAAAAAACTCTCATTCTAAGGGAATTTTAGGCAAAAATGGACCAGGTACCAAACTTTAGGTATTTTGAGAAAGTACCGCAGGTAAGATACTTCAAGGGGATTGTTTTTCCACATGCGTAAAAGCTGGTACTGGCGTCGAATGACATCAGAACATGAGGCGGGGTATTTTGGGTACTTTGGGTACTGGTACTCGACTGGAAGTCAATGGAAAAGTGAAAATACCGTACCAAAAGTACTGTATTTGGTGCAGAGGAAAAGTGCCCTGACTCTAATTAGCTAGATAGTAAGTATAGACAGCAAGTTAGCCAACGTTAATTAGGTAAAAGCTAAATTACATAGCAAAGCTTAACTTCTAATTTGACACAACAAAATGTCTAGTACAGCACAAAGAACATCAGTACTTACATTATGTTAATCTCATTGCAGGAATCCAGTTAAATTAGCTAGTGGGGAGTGAAGGCCCAGTCCCACTGTTAATTAAAGATGTCACTCCCACTTTCTGCCCTAAAAATCATCAGGGGCACTACAAAATGCATTAGCCAATAGGGATGCATCCCTGAAAAACCCACCCACGCGAAAGGTTCGTGTCAAAGCTCCAAGCAAAAAATCAGGCAGCGCAAATGTATCGTCACACACTGGCACGAAGTGGGGAAGCAGACACAGGAATCAGAGAAGTCAGGCAGACACGGGGTTTATTAGGGGTTGACACTCTCAGAAACACAAAATGGCGTCAATGACCGGACTGGGGAAAGACTAACAAGAAAGCACTTAAATACACTGGGCTAATGAGCTACAAAGACACAGCTGATAACACAGGGATAGATGAGGGGGCGTGGCATACAAGAGGATCGGCACGATCAGGGCATGACAAAACAAGAGAGCCAGTAGCATAACTGCAAAAATTAAGCAGTGCAAACAAGAGCTTTGGCTGCGTGTCTGCAAAGCAGACTCCTGGGCTGGACTCTGGAGGGTTGGAATGAGCAGGTCCCTTTGGGCCAGACTCTAGAGCAGGGGTGGCCAATCATATCCGCAAAGGGCCAGTGTGTATGCAGGTTTTTGGGGTAACCTTTAGGTCAGCTGTTCAAACCCATGTGTGAGGACTCTTCAGCCAATCATTCTCTAATTAGTGACCTAATTAGAGAGTTACAGCGAAAACCTGCATACCCACCGGCCCTTTATGGATAAGATTGGCCACCCCTGCTCCAGAGGCTTGGAAAGAGCGGGCCCCTGTGGGATGGACTCCAGAAGCTCGGGCAGAGTGGACTCCTTGCTTCATTAAATTGGCATAAATCTGATTCCATATTTTTCTGCCCTCTCTTCCTGTTACAAAGCTATACATGCATATGCATGTA